CCTTCTCAGAGAGGCCACCTTTGACCAACAACCAAAATTTTGTCCACTCTCTGCCCCAGAACAAGGCTTTTCAATGTTCTTCATGGAACATATTATAGGATATTATTTTTCCTCCTCTTTTGTAAAACTTACATAGTCTGTTCCCTCCATCAGAAGCAGGAGCCTTTGTTGATCTTGCTGCTGCTTAATCTATTCCAGTGCGTAGAACAGTGCCAGTTACAGATGTTCTTGAAACAACATAAATGAATAAACTTCTAATACCTACTAGATGTATCTGCTGGTTTGTTTCACAAGCACTTCAATTTCTACAAGGTCATAGCAAAACCTTCTTCCTTCCCTAACATGTATTTCTTTCCACTGGTTTCTAATCTCAGTGAAGATGCTGTCATTCTCCCAGTTGCTCTCCCAACAAACTTTGGGAGTCATCTTTGACATCTACCTCTCAGTTATTCCCTTTCCCAGTCGACCAACTCAGCAAGCTCTCAATCACTTTGGTAATATTCTTCAGGCCTATTTGCCTCTATCTCAATAATCTCTCACTCATTACTGTTTGCCATGCCTCTGATTTCTGCGCAATAGTCATCTGTCTAAAATGCAAATCCTTATGATGCTTCTATTTACGTAAAATCTTTCAACTGCTTCTTCTTAGCTCTCAAAAGCTAATTCCTGCACATGGCATTTCTGGCCTTCACGACTAGACTTCTCAGGCACTCCTGAAATAGCATTATCTTCTTCACCCAACAATTTCTTCAGAGTTTGCGTCTTAACCTTTGCACTTACTGCTTCCTCTGCATGGAAGGACCTTCCCCAATTTCCTTATTAAAGCTAATTGCTTCTCCAGTCCCATTCCATTCCTGCCTCCCAAGGTAAGAGATTCCGCTCCTCTGAGATTTCACAGTAGTCAACAGCTTACCCTCATTCTACTGATGATCCCTACTTGTCTGCATTCTACAGCATTAGATCAATGAAGGCAAGGATGCTGGAGAAATCATCAGCTGCATAATTCAAGAACTCAGTTAAGAAGAACGTCTGACCAATATTGACAAATTCTTATCACCTGAGCAATGAACATATCAGACCAAAGGAAACACAGAGATGGCCCTAGTCGTTAGCTCTGCTTCTATTTTA